GTCTATTTATAAATGTGTATCTCGCAAGCTTAGACTCATTATTTTGTGCAACTGTAACATCAGCTGCATTGTTGGGTACTTTATGTAATTTTTATTATTGAATTAATTTTAATTTATGAAGTATATAAAAGGATGTCTCAATATATATTTGAATATGCAGCATATTAATTAAAAATAAAATTAAAAATTTTAAAGTGTGAGTTTTGTTTTGTTTTTACCTTACTTATACCTATATGTATCTCAGGGTACAAGTAGGGTATAGATCTTATGCCCTGCTTGTACCTTATCCATCATGTATCACGATGCTATTGAAGTCTGAATACATTCAAACTCTGCTCATAATATTTTTTTTCGAATATTAGAGCAACAATTATTCTCAAACTAATTCTCTTGCATTAATTACGCTGTTAATAACAGTGATGCTTTGCCCCATTACATAGGTGAGGGCCCAAGAACACATGGAGGCAATGTGCAATGTGCTAAATTTTAGAATATCACACCCTACATACTGAGAGATTCGAACACGTGACTTAACAAGCTATAATACAGACACATATATGTATGTATGTATACATATGCATATATATACTGACCGAAGTGCGGACCCCAAACCAATCCCATGTGTAGAATATCACACCCTACATACTGAGAGATTCGAACCCGTGACTTAACAAGCTATAGTACAAACACATATATGTATTACATACTGAGAGACTCGAACCTGTGACTTAACAAGCTATAGTACAAACACATATATATGTATGTATGTATTTATGTATGTATGTAGGTATATATATGTACTGACTGAAGGGCGGACCCCCAACCAATCCCATGTTCAATTTCAAATCCTATATGGTGGTGGATTCAAATTTGGTGGTGTGTTCAGCAATGGAGAGCTTTGATTATAGAAAGGAAAACACCACTAAATTGAAACCGACAACCTTAAATACAACCAACAAAACAAGAGGTGACATCATGAACAACACCAAAATAGTGCTCATGGAGGGAAAAACCCCATGAACACCACCAGTGAAACACATAACACCATCAAACAACACGGTAACACCATTAATAACATCATCTTACAACCTTCAGTAACTCCGGCAAAAAATACTCACCAAAACATGGAGTACAACCACAAATAATATCGATGAAACTTAAAATAAAACCATCAATAATACCCGCAAATCACGAGATTAGGCAATGGTTGCAAAAGCAGCAATATATTGAAAAGTAATTAACAAGCTAATAACATATTAATATTCGGATTAATATGTCAAATAAGTAAAAGTACAAACTATAAAGTATCATCGAATTACAGCAAGAACCAAACAGATGCGGCTTTAAACAGAACAAGTGATCCAAAAGTTTCAGAGCCTATGAAACAACAAAATGCTTCTCAGCTATTTTCCCGAAAAAAAAAAAAAGAGAGACTTTTCTAACTTCAGACATGAAGAGTGTTTGCTGTAGACAAAGCCTGCAATGATCAGTTGCTGCCTGTCTCATGCATCACAAGTTCCTCCACATATCAAGCTCCTGAAGAGTTGAAAAGAAAAGCATAAATATTACAATTGGGACTTGAGAAAGATGATATATATGTAATTTTGATAAAACATTATGATTTGTATGTTAAACATAATGAAATGTATGTAAGCATGAGATAATCATCAATCATCATCATTATAAGGAACCAAATGGTCAAACTCTACAAAGTGTAAAACTCTCCTTTTCCTTTCTAAGTCATCACATTAATTTTAGGGGAAAAGGAAGATTTACATATATATCTAACATTTAAACTTCATTTTTTACATATACATCTCCCCTTAACTACGCATCGAAAGGTGTATTTTATTTTTAAAAAGTAAAAATGACTATTTTTTGATATGATATGAAGAAATGCCCTTAGAAAAAATGATATGATGCGGATAAGGTTTCCTATAGGTGGCAACCTCTCAACCCTAAAGGCAGGAAATATCAGTGTCAGATGATTTTTTAAGATCTCTTTGAACATCTATAGATTTTGTTTTCCTCTTCTTGAGCTCAAATGCAATGCAAGGAGAAGTCAATTTTCTTTTCCTTCTATTTAGTCTAACCTCAACCTTTCGGATTATACTGCCATGGGAGGATTGATATGTTTCTTTCTGCATTAAATTTCATCCAAAGTCATTATTCTATTTTCCAATTTATTAACTTCAGTCTTGAGCTCTGTAACTGCATTTTCTAAATCCGACGCTGCTGTTAACTGTTTTCTTAGTACGTGAATAATTTCTTCGAAACCTTTATTGACAACTGTACAACTTGGTGACACAGTGATGTTACTTGAAATGAAAGAGTCCATGCTAAATAAAATTGGTGATTGTGTTGTGTAATGAGTTGCATGGGTGATGTATTGGGGCATTTTCACAGGACCAGATTGCTCTTCAATTGAAGGAGAGAGCAGGGCATATTCTTCATCTTTCAAGTCCAAAAAAATATCGTAAACCTACAATGATCAATAATTACAATCACCGATGACCTGAATTTTCCAAAAAAGAAAAAAAATTATCCAATAAGAGAAAGATGTCTACAGGACTGAGCTTCTTAAAATTTTAATGCATAAATGATGAGTTTTAATCCACATTTGTTGACCACCTCAGCATGCGAGGCCTGACCTCAGGTGTGGCAGGAGTAACTACAGATGTGTCTTAGTCATTGCAAATGAAATTTACTTATAAGTGATGGTAATGATTCATGTTTTTGTTTTTTTGTTTATTAAATAGGGGTATTAAATTAGTGAGTTATTAACACCCAAAATCATACTCCTAAATCTAGAATCAATTTATGTAATTTAAGAAAATTGCAAATCTATCCTTTTTTAATTAGGACAAGTGATGTTGGTTTCTACCAGTTAACCCCTTGTTTTTCAAACATCCAAATATGTTAATTAGAATCAAAGATTACCCATTTCCCTTTCTGAAATTAGGCCTAAATGTTAATTAAGGCCAAATTTCTAAAATTACACATTTACCCCTAAGTCTCTATCACTTCATAATTCATCAAATTTACTCCAAATGACTTTGAAATTTTTATCCTACCTCGCTCATGGGTCAATTAAAACATCAGAGGAGAAAGTGTGATTTTTTAAAATTTAATTTATCTAAATAACTATTTTTAATGCAAAAAATTGAATTTTTCAAAGAAAATTCATAAGTTAACCAAGGTAAATCTTAATCTCTTGAAATTTTTACTGGATGTAGGCTTTATACTAGAGAAGCCTTTGGACCAAATTTCATAATTTTTTGAATTTTATTTGAATTTTAAGAATTATTTTAAGTTCTGGGGTGTTTATTAATTATAA